GTCTTATTATTTCTAAAATACATTTCATAAGGCCATAACTGCCATAGATGGTAATCCCTTAGATGGATATAGGCAAAGTAAGTTGGAGACTTTGTGGAAAGGGTTCACTATTCTAGGTATCATTAAGAGCATTCATGATTCATAGGAGGTCAAAATATCAACAACAGGAGTTTGAAAGAAGTGATCCCAACCCTCATGGATGACTTAGAGGGATTCCAATACTTCCAGTCATGGAAGTAATTGAATATAGGGTGAACAGAGCAGGAGAATTAGAATTAGAAGGTGAGTCTGAAGATGTGACTGAGCTCCAACAATCTCATGATAAATCTTGAATTGTTGAAGAGTTGCTTCTTATAGATCGGCAAAGAAAGTGCTTCCTTGAGGTGGAGTATACTCTGGTGAAGGTGCTATCAGCATTGTTTAAATGACAACAAAGAATTTAGAATATTATCTAAACTTAGTAGATAAGGCAATAACAGAATATGAAAGGACTGACTCCAATTTTGAGAGCAGTTCTAATGCGAGTAAAATGCCATCAAACAACATTTTACACCACTGACAAATACCACTTCCTTTTGTGAAAGGGAAGACTCATTTAATGTGGCAAACTTCATTGTTGTCTTATTTTAAGAAATTGCCTGCTGGACATGGTGGCTCACACCTGTAATTCCCAGCACTTTGGGAGGCTGAGGCAGGCAGATCACAAGGTCAAGAAATCGAGACCATCCTGGCTAACATGGTGAAACTATGACTCTATTGAAAATACAAAAATTAGCTGGGCATGGTGGCAGGTCCCTGTAGTCCCAGCTGCTTAGGAGGCTGAGACAGGAGAACTGCTTGAACCCAGGAGGCAGAGGTTGCAGTGAGCTGAGATCGCACTGCTGCACTACAGCCTGGTGACAAAGCAAGACTTTATCTCAAAAAATAAGAAATGTATATATTTACCTCTGGGGAATGGCCACTATCATAGTTTTACTAAAAAAACTGTTATTTCATTGGCAAAGATATTTATTACAGTAAGGTCTGATCATTTCCATTTTGAAAAAAATATTGATGTCAATTGAGCTCTCACTAAGAAATGCTACTTATAATTCCCAAGTACTTTTGAAATTTAAGTACATTTCCTTTCTGTGGCCTTGTAATCACCATGTTAAAGAATAGAGATTCTCAAATTATTCAAATAGTTAAAAGTTAATTATAGATCAAATAAAACTATACTTCAGTAGTTAATTTGCTAAAAACTAGTTCTTGTTTCCAAGTCTTATTAAAATTTCTAACTTTTAAATAATTCATTTCAAGTAATTCTTTCCCAGATCTAGAACTAAGACAGTGTATTCATTCTAGAAAAATAAGTCTCCTTAGAAATGCCATTACTGTTGAGATTATTGATCTCAACCTGCTCTCAGGGCCAAAGTGTTTAGCAAGACTATTTCAGGGACCTGAACAGGATATTTTTATTGACAATGAGACAGCAGAGTACCCAGAGCTCAAATGGAAATACCTCGTGGCTAGGCCTATATCATTCTAACATTCTATTGATGTGCAGCACAGATGGTGAGATGTGTTGATGGATGAGGTTGTCTCAGCAGCAGAGTTGTCTTAGTCCTGCCAAACACTTAAGTTGAATAACCTATTAAAGATGGTTGACCTATGGCAGATGGAGATATTTATAAGTAACTATAGCTATTAAATGTGGATCATCCAGTAGGCTCTAAATATAGTCTTTTTCTCATAGTTTTGATTTCTAGTTCCTAAGGCCATTTATTCAAGTTTGCTTTCAGGAAGAGAAGGAACAAAAAGAGATTTGGAAAACACGTAAACAAAGTAAGACTAGAACACTAAAAGGAATTATGGGTGAACTAAATAAAAATATTTACGAGGTAACATTGATATAAAATACTAATTAAAATTAAAATTAGAATTGTCTAGGATTAAAAAAAATAAACCCAGGTTCTATGCAGAACTGAGGATTTGCTATCAAACAATATCTTTCCCTCTGTTTCTACTCTACGGAGGACAAGTTAGAAAGAAACAGCAGTAGTTTATAAGTTATGGTAGTTGGGTAATTGTGTGACCTTAAGCATGTCATGCAAATTTTGGAGGTATCAGTTTTCTCATTTGTATAATTAGAGTTAGTAAATGTCATAAACATTTTCTTAGAACTATTAACTTTGGCTTTTTTGTTCCATTTCACACATCAATATTTATTGAGTCTTACTTAGGGCCCATGTGTATAAAATAGAATGGTACTCATTATTTAGGTTGTTTTTAGATGTGGTTTTTTTTTTTTTTTTTTCGTAACACTTATATGACCTTCTATCTAACTTATCTGTAAGTTTCATAAAGGCAATAATTATTGTTGGTTTTGTTCACTGATTTATTTCAAGTACCTTAACACTGTAAACATTCAACATTTGTCAAATGAATGACTAAATGAAAAAATACATGTAAAGTGCTTAGGATAGTATTTGGCACAAAGCATTGATAAACTGTTCTATAAATGGTTATGATAAATGGTTTTATTAATACCCACAGTGCCATCTCACTAAGATAGTTGGAAGAAATTGCGATATTTCAAAGAGACGTTGGAGGGTACTAAGGACCACACTGTTGTTCTCAAATATTTGAAAGAGTATCACATGTTACTTTTAAAAAAAAGAATTAGGGCCAAGAGGCAGAAACTACAGGGTGATAGTTTTAAAATTTGGAGTAAAGAAAAGCTTTCTAACAAAATTGCTCAAAAATGAAATAAGCTGATGTTCAAGTAAATATCAAATTATTACATAGCCAGTTAATGGGGGGATAAAAAAATCTAACTGAAGGCCATAAATTTAGTATTCCATGAACTAAATGATATGGAATGAACACAGTGTTTATTACATATAAAATAAGTTTTAAAATATACAAAATACAAAATTTTGTGATGCCTCTGGAAATAAAATTATAGATGGAAAATGGTAAATATCATAATAACCAATCTATTTACGTGTGTACATGAGATCAAAGAACATTTACTTTCTGGCAAATACAGCATATGACTGAAAACAAATGCTACTGATTTGTCTTATTAATGCTGGCAAATGCAGCAGATAGGAGTCATAGAATTCTTTATTCCCTATCAGAAAAACAGAAATACTTAAAGCCAGATTTTTTTCTGTTCTTTTTTACCCCAGTTGTAACACTGCACTTCAGAATACAGTATAAGAATATTGGCAGTTGGCATATTCGTGGGTTGTATAAAACTAACTGGTGCATCATTCCCGCCAACTAGGGATGATTTTGACAAAATGATGACATTGATAAAAAAGGAATCTCACTCAATATCATTTTTATTGAAGGATGTGTGGCCTCATACAAATATAGCCCCATCAATCTATTGCCATCAGATTGGACAGAAACGAATTAGGTACATGAAATGGCTGTCATAAAATGTATCCCAGCTGGAGCTAAGTCTGATCACAGAAGGTCAGTTAAGCATTTGGAAATTGAAGAAAGTATGTTTCCTTTAATAAGCCATCAAAAGTTAATAACAAGTGAGTTGGCTCTCTATTTTGGGCAGAAGCCCTGAGAAAGATGCAGAAGTTTCTAAGGTTTTGCTGTTCTTTAAATTGAATACATGTTAATAAAAAATATGTGATATATAATAATGTTTTAAAGATATGGAATGAAGAATCTGCTTTCCTACCACTGACAACTTCCAGTGTGACCATCTCAGAAGTGCATTTCATTCACACGTTCAAATCTATCATGTTGTCTTACTAGTTACGATAGTTAATTTTATGTGTCTAGTGCCTGGACTACAGGTGCCCAGACATTTTACCAGACATTATTCTGCCTGTGTCTGTGAGAGCGTTTTGGATGAGATTAACATTTGAATCAGTAGACTGAGTAAAGCAGATTGCCCTCTCTAATATGGGTGGACTTCAAATAATCAACTGAAGATCTGAATAGAATTAAAAGGCTAAGAGGTAATTTTGTGCCTGACAGCATGAGATGGAGCATCTGTCTTTCCTAGCCTTGAGACATTGACTCATTTTGAGTTGCAAGGCTACCAGCTTTCAGACTGGAACTTAATGTTATCATCTTTCATGGTTCTAAGACCTTTAGACTTAAATTGGAACTACACACATTGGCGCTTCTAGGTCTTTAGCTGGCCAACTGTAGCTTGTGACTTCTGAGCTTCTTTAATGACATGAACCAATTCCTTGTAGTAAATCTTATATATATATATATATATATACACACACACACACACACACACACACACACACACACACACACACAAATATATACATACACATATACATGTGTGTAGGACACACATATATGCACATTTTGTATTATATATGTATATACTTTTGGTTTTGTTTATCTGGAGAATTTGACTAATACATTGATTCAGCAACAACATGGAATGGTATGAGTTGTGTTAATCATGTGAATTATCCAGATAATTAAAGTCAATCTCTGTAGAAGCTCATGTTTTAGTACCTTGTCTAGAAACAATGTAGGTAATCAGGCAAGACAATGACACTATTGTGATATAGAATAAAAAGTCAAGTTTCTAATGCTGTAAAAATGAGCTCTAAAAGTAATTCCTCACTTCCAAACCCCAATTTTTATGATTCTACATTATAAACCAAGCTCATATAATCATCCTCAAAATCAGTTTTAAAAGCAACTATGAGTTTCAGAAATGTTTACTTTCCAAGTAAATTACTCAAGCATATAAAAATCCCTTTCATTTCCTTAGTCACTTTTTTAGGACTTAAAGATGCATCATCTTCATTTGTTGATTCCTGTTATTATTAATCAGCACATGGCAGTCTACTTATTTTCCATGATTTTCTCCAGGCACAGGTGCTTTATGAAATGTAAGCTCTATTTCCACTGCACAGATTAAGCTTTGAAAGAATTTTTTATTATATACTAAATGCTACCCTTCATTGCTGCCAAATTCTTGGTATTAACTCCATGTGAATTTTCTCATCATCGCTTACCTGCCCAGAAGCAGAAATTCTCCAGCTAGACCCAGGCGTCTCATGGCCATAAGGAGACCTCTCACCGTCATGCCTTCGCAGAAGCAGGCCACCACCCGGGCCTTGGGCAAGTGACTTGTGAGCTTCTTCAGCAGCTTATCAAAGCTCTGCTCCCCTGCATTGCTGTAGATTTTGTAAGAATGGGCAATGCAAATCCCTTCCTTTGCTGCCATATCTTTGAAGGCTTCCATCCCACTTTCTCCATAGTTGCCTGTGTGAAAACATAGATGAGCAGAGAGATTATAAAATGAGGCTTTTGCATTAATTGGGTATAATCAAAATAAACGGGTTAGGGGCAGGAAAGTCATTGGTAGGGTACTTGGAATCCAAAGACATGAATTTCAGTTTTTGCTCTTTTGCTGAATTGCTTATTTTGGGTAAATTACAGTTGAACTCCATTACACATGCATTGATCTTTTGTATTTTCACTTAGATGAGAGAATAATACAAAAAGGGTAAGGAATTCACTATCCTTTTATGACTCAAAAAGAGCTCCTAGTCTATATGTGAGTTGATAGAAGATATTTATCTGCTATTTTTTATTTTGCATTCTATATCACTTTCCTTTGCTTCTCACTGATAATTTCATCCCACTGATTCAGATTTTGTCTTTAAAGTTACAGTATATATGTGTAATATATATAGTTTATATAGTGTAGATATTGCCATATAAATATTTTATAGAGTATTATATATAATATTCAGTATTATATATAATATTCAGTATATTATATACTTACCATAAGAATTTATGGTTTGGTCTTAATTTAAAAACTGAGATTCTTGATTAAGATTTAGTATACAACCATGGGGAAGTTATTGATAAGGATGAAAAAATCCAAAGTCCTTTGCAAAATTTAGGGACTAAGGACTAATGGTAGTCTTCTAAAATTAATGAAAAAGGGGATTAATATTGACAGCTATAGGCCAGGACACAAGGACCTTTATATGTGTGATTTAATTTAGCACTAACTATAAAATATTGATGTAGATATTATGAGCTCTATTCCATACATTCCTAAGAAAACAGATAAAGCAGTTAGGTCCACATTTGCCTGAAGTTACACTAGCAGTAAGTAGAGGCTGGACTCCATTTACAGATCTAGTAGCAAAGGTTCTACTGCCTCTTCTTGTCTAAGGCTGACTCTTAAGACTCAGAATTCTAATTACACTTGCATTACTCTTTTCCATTTCAAAGTGACAATTCTCCAATTTTAGATTTTTTGGAACATTTTAAGGCTCTATATTTCATACAAGGCTCATATTCTGAATTTTCAGAATAGATAAATGAGGGGGATTGCTTTGAAGAATGCAAGAGGCTATTACAAGATAACCAAGCTATATAACATATAAGAATGCAACTGACCTAAAAATCAACTAGACTTAGGAAGTGGAATCTCATCAGGAGGAGTAGACATCAAATTAATAAGGAGCACTGAACATTCAATTGCATAGGGTTCACTATATGTCTAATAACTGCAATAAAAAACCACATTGCTATGTGTGTACCTATGCAACAATGTTGCATGTTCTTCACATATACCCCTAAACCTAAAATGCAATAAAATACACCTTTAAAAAAAATAAGTCCATAACAATTCTATTTTGGCAAATTCAGTTTATATATATCAGCTCACTTCTCCTTACAACAACTCTGTGATTAAAGGTTAACATTATCTCCCCTTGGCTGATAAAAGTGAAGTTCAAATACAGATAGTTGGTGTCAGGATCTTGGTTTGAACATATATCTTTTGATTCCTGACCTGATGTGTGTACTATCATACCACAGGTAACTTGCTGCAAATGAAATCCATAATCTTTGAGGGTAGATTTTGGTGAAGTTTTATCTCAATGAACAAGCTACAAAGGGCAGAGCAGAGCAGATCGGCTTGAGTCCCAGTCAAAAATATTGGTGGGCCAGCTGCATCTTTTCTCTTTTTCTCCAGAATTAAAAGCAACAAGAAGCCTCTGTCATGATGGCAGGTGGGCAATCTAGTTATTATGCAATTAACAAAGTTTAAAGGGCACTTTCCGAAAATGTGCCAATGGACCTAAATTACTACCAGTTTTACACTGATCTGAGAAATCTATTATTCTTTGATTTATTTTTAGCTAACTCTGTTTTTCAACAGAATGCCTTGCATTTCATGTTTGGATTTAATGCAGAGGCATTTGCATAAATAATCTGAAATTAGGTATAGTGATTGCAAAGCGAATTTATTGAGAATTTCCTATTCTTTATTTACTTTTATTCTCAATACATTCACTGTTAAACAAGAAAAGATACCTAACAAATTCAGATTCTTTAGCACTTTGTTCCTGACAACTTTGTTTTAACACTGTTTTTGTTTATACAATATGTAATATAGAAGCAGCTTGCAATAGTGGAGAGAACTTTATTATTAGAGAAATCTGAGTTCAGTTTATATAGTCTTTTTAATTTCAGCTTTCTGAGTTAAAACTGCTTAACATTCTGATATTTTTGATATTGTATATAATGTATTTAAACTATCTGATAGGTCACCTGAACCCAATTCATTGTACCTACTGAAATTATAAGGAATATTCAACCCTATCAAAAAGTGGGCAAAGAATATGAACAGATACTTCTCAAAAGAAGATATTTATATGGCCAAGAAACATATGAAAAAGAAGTTCATCATCACTGGTCATTAGAGAAACGCAAATCAAAACCACAACGAGATACCATCCCACACCATTTAGAATGGTGATCATTAAAAAGTTAGGAAACAACAGATGCTGGCAAGGCTGTGGAGAAATAGGAACGTTTTTACACTGCTGGTGGGAGTGTAAATTAGTTCAACCATGTGGAAGACAGTGTGGCAATTCCTCAAGGATCTAAAACCAGAAATACCATTTGACCCAGCAATCCCATTACTGGGTAATATATTCAAAGGATTATGAATCATTCTCCTATAAGGACACATGCACATGTATGTTTATTGCAGCACTGTTCACAATAGCAAAGATGTGGAACAAGCCGGAATGCCCAACAATAATAGACTGGATAAAGAAAATGTAGCACATATACACCATGGAATACTATGAAGCCATAAAAAAGGATGAATTCATGTTCTTTGTAAGGACATGTCTGTACCTGGAAACCATCATTCTCAGCAAACTAATACAGGAACAGAAAACCAAAACACTGCATGTTTTCACTCATAAGTGGGAGTTGAACAATGAGAACACATGGACACGGTGGGGGAACATCACACACAGGGGCCTATTGGGGTTTGGGGTATTGGGCAAGGAACAGCATTAGGAGAAATACCTAAGGTAGATGACGAGTTGATGGGTGCAGCAAACCACCATGGCATATGTATACCTATGTGACAAACCTGCATGTTCTGCACATGTATCCCAGAACGTAAAGTATAATTTTAAAATAATTAAAAGAATACTGTAGACAGTGTTTAGCTACTTTTTTCTAGAGCATCTAAAACAAACAGTGGAGCAAATGGCATTATTACTGAACACTAGACTTAAAAAAATAAGCTTATACTAGCAGAAGAAAATATTATTTTCCCAGAGTAAATCCCAAGCATTACCCGTTAAAATTAAAAATGGCAGGGGTATATATGAAAAATTTCCATTCAATTTTGCAGTGAATCAAAAGCTTCTCTAAAAAAGAAACTCTATTTTAAACATGTAAATAAGAAACAGTTTTAATACATGTGTGACATAAAAATTTTATGGAATATAATTTTGATTTAAAAAAAGAAATCCTTTGTAAGCTGGGAGACAAATGAGAATATGTCTTCCAAGAAAATGGAAAAGACTGAAGTGTTGACACCTTCCAGTAGCTGAAAGAAACACTACATTCTAGAATTACACATTTTAAAATAATGAAAAAAAAGTGTAGCAAAAGAAATGTCTACAGGCGTCTCAAAGAAGAAGGGAAGACATTTCAAGTGATATGTAGGATGAGGGAAAAGCTAAGGAAGCAGCTATTTATTTTTCCAATAGAGGGAAACAAGTCACTGAGAAAGAAAGCTGTGGTATGAAGTATAAAACTAACACGTGACTTTATTTTATGGAATGAATAGAAGTAAGAAGGAATCCGTAGAATATTCATCATGCAGTAACAGTTTATAACTTGGATTTACGTGGAGAAAACATAATCATAGCCCAATATCTTCACTTGTAGCTCACACTATTTACAGGCATAATGATGCAAATGTCAATCATTGATTTTCAAATTTAAGAATCCACCTACACACAAATGGAAAACTCAATATGCAATGAAATATATTTGTTGTCAACTTTTATGATGCCAATTAAAGAGAAAGATGATGAAGGCTAAGCGGTAGATACAGGGGAAAAGGAAGATCATTAAAATCATCTACTCCCAATTTGGAAGTCAAGATATACAGAAAATAAAATATATGTGATTAAGAGAATTATTTGAAGTTAAATAATCAGGAGGTAGCTATTATAATGGGAGAATTACAATAAAATAAGAAATAAGAAGATGTACAATGTAAGAGATAATGTCTGTCGTCATTTAAAAGTAGTTTTGTTAAAAAGACATATTCATATTAGAGCAGTGGAGGTGAAATAAAACGATGAAAAACGAAAAAATTTTTTTCACTTTAAGCCCTTGCGCACTATTTGACTTTTAAGAATATGAAAATATACATTTAATGAAAAATATGAATTAGCATACTTAAAAGTCATTGAAAGGAGAGAGTTAATGCAGATAATTTTAAAAGTAATTTTCTTCTCTCTGCTTTATTGTTTTATACTGTTTTAGGGATATAACTCATAGAAGTTCTTTATATGCTACTCTTGGTGGTGGAAATGTAAATTAGCATACCCATTAATAGGAAACTGCACGGAAGTTCCTCAGCAAAACTAAGAACAGGATGACCATATGATATAGCACCGCTCCTTCTGGGCGTATTTCCAGTGAATTTTAACTGTACTCCCATGTTCACGGCAGCATTATTTACAAAAGCCAAGTTATACCCATCAATAGATAAATGAATTTTAAAATGCAGTGTATATATACACAATGAAATACCAGCAGCCTAGAAACCCTAAAAAATGCGTTAGGAAAGAAAAAAAAAAATCTGGTATTTGCAACAACAGAATATTACTCACTTTTGTACTGCCAAGGGAACCTATTAGAGAACCAAAACAAGTTGATTAAAGGAATAAATGACTAAATGGGAAGTACAAAATAAT